TTTACATCGGGCTTTAGCACGCTCTAGCCTTTACATATAATGTGTAAGAGCGTCGCGCCATCGCCTCCCTCCTCCCTCGGGCTGACCCTGAGACTTCGATTTTTAAACAATGCAAAACGCCGTCTATTTTAGCCCTCGAATGCGCCAGACGGAAGAGCCTCCTGTACCCACAAATAAGCAGATTATGGCGTTTTGCTGGCGGCGTTCCTACTCGTAAGTCCGACCAGCTGTGAAGCGGCGTTTATGCCTTTTTCTAATTTTCTTTTATTATTATTTTTTTTAAAATTTTTTTATTTATTTCTTTTTTTCTTATTTTTATATCCAATTTTGTTCTAATCGACGGAAGGAATTATCCTTAAATATATTTCAATATTTATGAACGGATAAATAACGTCGAACATTGAATAGTTTACGAACTGTAATTGCTCGGATGCCATAAAGCGTAGTAGCATAAGTTATTATGCCAATCTTACCGTCCATTTATTATTTGGAATTTTATCTATATTACATATGCAGAATATGGAATCCATTAGGCAGTCTTTGAAAGTTAATTTTGAAAGAGAACCTCCTCAATAAGGAGTAAGAATTTTCCAGCGGGAAAAAAGAAATTGAGTGCGTAAATTGAATAAACGAATAGTAGGTCGCCGAGAGCGTCACACTTGTAAAGCCATTGTGAGTGATTTAATCAAACAATACGGCATTCGACGGTAGTATAACTTTATAATGTAATGAGTTAAAATTGCATTTGTAAAGTTCACGCACGATCGCGCTAATGTACTTGCGTCTGTTGAATGAGAGCATTATCGGTGACTTCCTTGTCCTACAGTTGTCATCATTTGTGCCCGATCGTCGTGTCGGCTATGGCGCGAGCAGATACCGGAGCTCGTCACCCGAGCATATCATGCATCTCCGCGCAAAGGAAATTAAAGAATCTTCGAAAACGCGGGACTTCCGATCTGCACCGAGCGACGAGAGACACGAACGGACGGCCTCGCTTCCCAGCGGAAATTACTTCTTAAAAATGCATATAGGAAGAGCAAGGAACGCGCTCTCGGTTAATCGGCACCGGATGCGTCGATTGACCTCCGGGCGATCGACGCTGACGGACGTTGATCGAAGCAAGAGAGAGAGAGAGAGAGAGAGAGAGAGAGAGAGATGCCCTTTCGAAGATCCGTCTTTGGTGCACGAACGCGCGCTAATTATGCATTGTTAAGGTCCGTTCACGGAAACGAAACTCAAAAGCGTCTACTCCAGTGATTTCTTAATTGATAATTGTATATTATATAAACGCGTTGTCGTCCATTATCGGGTTATTTACTTTCGATGTGCGCACTCGCGTCCTTTCGCACAATTATCCTATGTGTACGAAATGTCTATGCCGATTTGGAAATTCGCACAACTCGTATACCGATAATTAAATCTGTTTATTTTCAAGCGAGATTCAAGAAGCAGCTGCTATATATAATTACAGCTTAACTTTTATTATAAACCAAGTTACGATAAATTATTGCTCTCTCGGATACGAATATACGAATAAATATATATAGCTTAAGAATATACAAGATTTTAGATAATTTCGTAAAAACCATTGGCACGAAAGAAAAATTCCTTATGAGTTTATAATATTAAAAAATTCAATTGAAAATTGCTCAAGCCCTATGACCAAGTTATTCGCTATTAAATACAAGTGCGATAGAAATGCAAACTGGACGGTTTTCATTGATCGTGCGAATGTTAAAGAGCACCGTTAATTATTATAGATATAATGTCTCGATAAGTAACTGCTAGGAAGCTCGTGCGACGAATAAAATTTTCATCTACCAACACAAATACGCCTTCTGGAAACAAAGCCTTTCGTCTCAACGACGTAACGGCGCCCGATCGACACCTCAGCCTAAAAGTTTACAAATATACAAGGCTTTCGCCTCGAAGGAGGACTAAACGTCCGCATTAGCTCCGTGGCCAATCCAATATTAGAGCAGCTGCCCGCGCATTCAATACTCGCCGATGCCGAGCGACTCGGCAAGCAGTTACGCATCCGCGACCGGTGCTCCAGCCCCTCAGCGAATTCCCCAAGGTACGCCAGGAAGGGCCGTATAAGGAATCGTGCGTCATGCAGGAACAGCAGCAGCAACAGCAGCAACAACAACAGCAACAACAGCAGCAACAGCAACAGCAACAGCAACAACAACAACAACAACAACAACAACAACAACAACAGCAACAACAGCAACAACAGCAGCCGCTAAATCGCGCGAAGCGCTCCCTGGCGCTCGAGTACAGCAGCCTGCAGCGCGAGCCCGTGGAGGGCTTCCGGGTGAATTTGATGAACGAGGACAACCTGTTCGAATGGGATGTCGCGATCTACGGGCCGCCCAACACCATCTACCAGGGTGGCTACTTTAAGGCCCGCATGAAGTTTCCCACGGACTACCCTTACAGTCCGCCGAGCATCCGGTTCCTCACCAAGCTCCTCCATCCGAACGTCTACGCGAACGGTTGCCTCTGCATATCGATCCTGCATCCGCCGTTCGACGATCCCCTCAGCGGTGAGCTCGCCTCCGAGCGCTGGAATCCCACTCAGAACGTAAGGACGATCCTCCTCTCAGTAATCTCGCTCCTTAACGAGCCCAACACCGCGAGTCCGGCCAATGTCGACGCCTCCCTCATGTACAGGCGATGGAGGGACTCGGGAGGTCGCGACAACGAGTACGAGCGCACGGTAAGGCGCCAGGTCAGGTCAACGAGGGCCGAAGCGGAGCGCGAGGGCGTCGTTGTGCCCATGACCGTTGAAGAGTATTGCGCCTCTGGTGCAAAGCAGCCGGCTTACGAGGAAGACGAACCCGACACCATGGACTTTTACGCGGACGATCTCGACGATGATGACGATCTTGATATTGGTGATGACGTCTATGAGGAAGAGGAGGAGGAGGAGGAGGAGGAAGAGGACGATGACGACGACGACGACGACAATGACGACGACGAGGACGACGACGACGACGACGACGACGTCGAGGACGACGACAACGACGACAACGACGACAACGACGACGACGATGACGACGATGATAATGACGACGACTACAAAGTGGTTGAGGAGGGTGAGGAGAACGAGGATGAAGAGAAGGACCAAAATGACGGGAATACCGTGATTGACAAGGATAACGATGGAGTGGGAAAGGTGATGAAGAAAAAGAAGAGGGAGGAAGAGGTGACCGCAGACTATAACGACGGAGAGCAACAGTCGTGAGCCTCCCGACGGCAGGATCACCCTGGCTTTGTTTTTTGGCTGTGTGCAGTTGTGCAAAGATCCTCAATGAGGAAACGAGGAGTGAATCGTGACAGACTGGAAGGTCGGATCGTATCGTGACGTTCAATATAAGTGAATTCGTTCGGGTACATTTATCAAAAGCCCGATTTTTTGTGTTTTGTTTTTTTACTTAATTTTATTATCCGTTACTTTCAAGAAACGCGCATGAACGTGCCTCACGCTGCCACGACACTTTCTAATGTTTAAGACTTTTACTCGAATATTTACTTGGTATCTTATATATAAATATGTGAATTATATTTTAAATAATGACGGGCGCGACAACATAATATACAAATACTCCTTACATTGATTGTCCAAAAATGCGAAGCTGTTGTAGCGAATAAATGTAAATAAATAATCCGTAAGTTTACTAGACTTGAGAAATTGTTCCGTTCTCTTCATCAGCGACGTATCGTATATATTGACATAATAAAGGCAAGTCCAGATCCTAATACGATAAAACCTAAGAAATTATACATTATTTCTTGTTAATAAATAATAAATGGTCAAACGTACGTACGAACAACTTAACGATTTTTAAAGGCATCCTACCCATATTAAACAATTTACAAATTTAATCTCTCTCTCTCTCTCTCTCTCTCTCTCTCTCTCTCTCTCTCTCTCTCTTGTCGTAACTAATAAATAGAAAAAAAGAAAGTCTTTTAATACAAACTCAATAGGCCTAAAATATCACTATTGTTCCGTTACGGATTGTAGATATTTTTTCAATGGATTTGCTATTATGAAAACTTATTTAGGATATAAATTATAATAATATTTACAATAACGAAGAAAAGTTTTTCCCATTATGTTTTAGACAAATAATAAACGATAATCGAATGAAAGTACGGAATGGCATTGGTCGTGTATTCGTTGAAAACGTAAAATTCACAATAAGAGATTGTAGAATCAGTTAACTATTCGGAATTCATATTTTCGTTCTTCATCATTCTCATATCATCGACATTTCAGTCAGTATGTTTACACAATAAGACTAGCGAATTAATTATTTCTATTGAGTAAACAATTCTGCTTCATTTGATCTGAAATATTGTGGATTCCTCGAATATTCTATATCCACTTTTAGATAAATCAACATTTTTTAATTAAATTAAAATGATAAATAAATGTTATAATAAATAAATATTATAAGCATAAAGCTGAAAAATAAATACCTGTAAAATGCTTTCGATTGATATCATAAATTTTTTTTTTAATTTTTTTATATATATATATAACTACAATAATATCAAATACATCAAATACACAATCTCTGAATAAGAAAATCTTAAAATTACGACTTAATATTAATGTAGCCTACGAAGAAATCTGGCATTTCAAATAATCATGTCTCACTTTTAACAATCCAAGCTGGCCTTAAGAGATTCTCGAGCATCGCTGCCGATGCGTAAAAGAAAAAACTAAAAAAAAGATATCGATAATCCGAATCTATTACATACCATCGTGCCATCATAATGTCACTCGATCGATCGCCTCCGCCCGCACACACATACCCTAAGCGTTCGCCCGCCCGCGCGCACACGCGCACGCGGGCGCATCCCTTCCGCGTATCACTGGGCCTTTATAAGATATCAGAGGATGAAATCTGTGCGTTCCGTACCCTCCCAGCGGGAATAAAAAAGATAGAAAAAGATGATGCATGCACACGCACGCATACCAATGGAGCTAAACGAGGGATCGATACATACAAAGGTGAGGTGAGGGGGGGGGTGCTCCAACGAGAAACGTCTCTACTCAAACTTCTGCATTTTCGACATCAGCGCGCATAGTGGCAAACGTACCCTCGACCTCGGCCTTGCTCCGAGCCATCGAGCCTGCACTCTCTCTTTGAGCCCAGCATCCCGCATCCTACACGCCATCCCCCGCCGCATTGTCCCTCATTCTCTAAAGCGAGCGAGCGGTCGCTTAGCACAAAGGAGGGAACGCGAGCGCATTCCTCTACGGTACATAACACGCAAGAAGCGCCTGCTCCCGGAGAGTGCAAGCCCGTACTTGTGCCTTACCGAATGAATAACGGGCAACTCAATGTGATT